CACAGGAGCGCTGGGACATGTGTGGGCAGCCAGGGGTCAGCACGGGCCTGGATTGACGCTTACAACTGTGCTTTGGGGGGGGCGGTAATTGGTGGTTATTGATTCGGGGGGGTGGGTTTTTTAATTGGTGATTTACCATGAGGTCATTTCACGAGGGTAAGTGTTGCTCTTGAGGGACTCGTGTGACGCGAACGATGTGTCTTTCAGGTGTCCTGACAGTGTACAGACGGGCCCCGGTGCGACTCCCCGGCAGTGGGACCCGGGCGTCTAGGTGTTCAGGGAGGGGGACCGAGCCCAGCGGTGGTCTCGGTGGTCTCTGGCTTGCCGCTCTGAGGCACTAGAAACCAGGCAGAGGTGACACTTCTCGGAGGTGGTGGCAGTGTAGCAGCTGGGGTCAGAGGGGACTCGGGGCGAAGAGTGTCTCAGCAGCCTCGTGGTCCTCGGGTCAGAAAGAGCTCAGGCAGGGCCTTGGACCTGTCTCGTGTCCCCAGGAAAGGGAGATGACGGGATGGGGAGGAGCAGCGGGGGGAGACGAGACGGGGAAGGTTGGGGACAGGGAGAGTGGGGTGGGTGGGGCTGAGGCCTGCCTTCGTGTGTGGGCCAGACCCAAGGAGGGGGGCCAGTGTGCCGGGGACCAGAGCCGAGAGCAGAGTGGACGACCCGTGCCAGGCAGGGTGCCCCGGAGAGGCAGAGTTGTGGGCCTGCCCCACGGGCCCCCGCAGCAGGGTCTGCCTGGCCATCAAGGCTGGCATGGGCTGGGCTTCCTTCCGAAGCAGGACTTCTTAGGACTCAGTCCACCGAGAGGGCACACCCTGTCTGAAGGTGCCTCGGGCCGTGTGGCCTCGTGGTTGAGGTGTACGCCCTTGACCCAGGCATCCTGGTTTCCAGGCTGCAGTTTCGTGCCATCGGGTTCCCCGTAGAAAGTCAGCGTGGTAGTGACATCTCCCTCTGGGGCATGGGCAGAGTCCAGCAGACAGCAGGGGCAGGGCAGGGCGCCTGGCAGGTGCTGGCGAGAACAGCTGCTCACACAGGCGCAGGATCACAGGCTGTCCCCTCCCCGCCCCACCGCTCGCTCCCAGCTGGCGGGGGCACCAAGCCCTAGGGCAGCGGGCTCGGACTCTGGGACTCTGCCCTCCCAGCTGAGGAGGAGAAGGAAACCCCACAGCTCCTCAGGCATGGGGTACTGGTTTCCCGCAGAGCCTGCTGTTGAAAAAGTTGGCAGCCTGTGCCAACCACCTTCCATGCCTTTCAGCGTCCCCGGGGGACAGCAAGAGCGGTGAGCTGGTGTAAGAGCACAGGCAGGACCCGGAGAGGGCGGACTGCACCCTCCACCCTCTGCCCCTGCAGGCGTGGCCCATGTATCCCCGCCACACACACCCCCCAGGGAAGCCTGCTCTGGCCTCACGTTTTCGCCGGTCCCCGCTCTGCTGTGACACTAGCAGCCAGCAGCCTTCACAAACTTGCCTCGTGTCTACCTCCCACCCTTACTAGAACGTCAGCCCCATGCAGCAAAGGGCAAAGGTCTTCATCCTTCCCTCCCCCACCCCCCGTATCCCAGGTACCTAGGATAGCACCTGGTACATAGTGCACAGTAAGTATTCAAATGGTAATAGTAAAGCACAGGCAAGAGACATACCTCAGAATCACCAGGCAGCTCGAGTGGCTTCAGTCATTCAGTCAGAACTGTTCTGAGGTCCTGGTGGCTCCCGCAGCCCTCATGCCCGCCCTTGCCGCATCACAGCCGCGGTTGGGGACCGGCACGGAGCCCGCCGAGTGGGTTCTGGGGGTCCAGGCGCCCCTCCTCCCCTCCCCCACAGCCCACACGGCTGGTGCTGCCCCGCGTCGCTGAGCGCAGGCAGGGGCAGGCCGGGCAAGTCCTGTGCCTCTGATGGCGCCGGCCCTCAGACCAGAACCGGGGCTGAAACACTTGGCTTGGCGCCTTCAGCTGTGTCCCTCACCACGGAGTCACGCGGTCAGTGGGTCTGGATTTCGACCTGGGACTCGTCAGGGTGAGAGTCGTGGTGTTGACAGTGGCTTTCGCCCCCGGGCGCCACGTCGGGGGCACCGGTCCCTCGGGGAGATCTGCTGAGCAGGGGTCCTGGTTCGAGGATGCAGGGAAGCCGGTCCCCAGGGGTCACCTGGGCGTGGAGACGAGACCACTGCCCGCAAAGATCTTGGGTCTGGGCCTCCGAGGGTGAAGGCCGGGAAACGAGGGCCGCACTGTGGCCTCCGGGCGCCATCGGCTTTGGTCTCGTGACTGAGCCGATCCATGTGCGTTCTTGCTGCTGTTTGTGTGCTGGGGCCGATGGGTTACAAGCTCTGAGGTCCTCGTCTTCTTCCAGATCCCCAGGTACTCGTTGCTGTGGCCTCTGGCCGTGGGGGAACACTTTCTCACCCTGCGGGATGATGAATAGGGGCCCGCGTGGGGCGTCACCCAGAAAAGAGGGGATCAGACTTCGGCTCTCCCCCCAACCTGTGCCTTTCGTATTTCCTGCTCACACCGTTCCTCCCACCCATGTGGCCCACCTCTCCATGTCACTTTAAGTGTCTAGAACTCATCCCTCGAGCGGGGTTGCGGGGGTCCAGTAGCTAGCTGGGCAGAAGTGCTGGCTGTCCCCCCCACCCCCACCCCCACCCGGGGGGGGTCCTCCGCTCTCCGGTCGAGGCTCAGGGTTTGAAGATAAACACTGTGCCCGTCCCTGAGGGCTGCTGCTCCAAGCCAGACTGCCCAGTTCTCCGGTGTTTCGGGAAGAGACCTGAAGACTTTCATCACTGTTTGTTCCTCCGTTCCTTCACCCACATACTTATTTGGGGCAGGCTAGGGTGGAGCAGCAGCTGCTCCAGAGGGCCCTGTGCTGAGCTGGGGGAATCCAGAAATAAAGCAGGTAGAGCCCTGTCTCCTAGACGCTCCTCCTCGCAGGACAGCAGTGCAGACACGGTCTTGAACCTGGTGGGGCCCGTGCCGGGCGAAGGAATGCCAGGGCTCGAGGCCAAGCAGGGAGCAGGTCTGGGTGGGTGGGACCCATGCAGACGCGCAGGGCAGGGACTGGGCCGTCCAGGGCAGGCTCTGTCTTGTCGTCGTCACGATGCGGTGTGTCTCAGCACACGTCTGTCCTATGAAGGGGACTCGGGCCTAACGCATCCTCCACGAATGACCCGGGAGGCTTTGGGGCAGACTCCTGCTGCCCCTGACCGAAACAGGCCCCACTGCCCTGGGTGGGGAGCCAGGTCCCTGGGGGCCGGAGAGGAAGCATTTTGGCACGGGGCACCTGGCATGCTGGCTCCTTCCAGAGCGAGCTTTGTACCAACTTGCCTCCGCCTCCCGGGAGGGAGTGCCAGCAGGCGGCGGCGACGTGGTCCCTTTTCAAAGCAGGCATGTTTTGCATGGAAGTAAGCCGGGAAGTAGCACATGCGTCATGTTTGTTTCATGAGGCACCGGGACTGTGCACTCTGGGCGCTGTTGGGGCAGGTTCCTCTGCTCGGCCCCCAGGCCAGCTTCTGGCCCTCCAGCACCCCGCTCAGCTGTGCCTGCTGCTGCTCCCAGCCCCAGCTCGGCTGCCCCCCCCTCTGCCGCCCCATCCCTCGTCCCTGGGTCTCCTCTCCACGTGCTCAGTTCTGCAGAACCCTGACGGGCTTGTCCTGGGGCGCTCGGCCTGCAGTGGTGAGGGGAGTCCTGCCCCCGGGAAGGCCTGCTGCACTCCCCAGCCTGGTGTCTCTCAGCGTCCAGGCGCGTGGCGGGGCCACAGGGCCCGCTGTCGTGTCATTGATACATGGGGCCGAAACCCTGGGACTGGACAGGAGGAGAGAGCCGTGTCCTCAAGGCTGGCCTCCAGGAAGAATGAAGAGGAGGCGGCAGCCCCGCTGGACTGGCCCTGCAGCCGCGGCATCTGTGCGGCAGTGCAGGTGGCCCTCCACCGCTGCGCGGTGTCAGCGGTGTTAAGTGTGGACGGTTATGTAAAGCCTGTTATTTCTTCCTGGAACTGGAAAGCATTTGAAGCGCGGAGCACAAACTTATGCATTTCTGGAGTAACCTGAGCATAAGTGTATGGCAACGCCGACCACCCGTACCAGTCATGGAGGCAGCCCCGTTGGGCTGGGGCCGAGTGACGGCGGGGGGAGGGGGGAGACCCCGAGTCTGAGCCCCAGTCTGCACTCTCAGAGGCAGCGTCCACCGTGACGCAGTGACATGACTGGGCAGCGTGACGGAGCGTCCCTCCCGAGGAGCACGATGGGGGCGGGGGAGGCCCTCCCCTGGAGGAGGGCCCCGGGCTTTGGGTGGGCAGGGCAGGGCAGAGTGTGGACAGCAGAGAGGGACACGCAGGAGGGAGCCCCAGGTTAGACCCAAACCGCAAAGGCCTGGAGGTGGTGCCACCGCCTCCAGCAGGCCCAGGCCCTGCACGTGCGGCCCTGAGTGCACACGGACATGGCAGGACGGCGGGTGCTCGAGTGCGGGCTGTTTCCGCAGCCGTTGGTCTCAGCTCTGACTGGACGGTTGCAGCTGCAGGCCCTGCAGGACCCTGGGCAGACCGGCAAGCCCCCACCTGGGCCCCGCCTTTCCGAGAGGGTTAGTGATGGCGGGGTGGGGTCCCAGCCCCGACCCCCGTCCCCGAGTCAGGAGCGCTGGCTGTGGCTCGTGTGCGCCAGGCGGAGGGCCCTCGTCCTCTCATCCCAGGACGGCCACAGGCGTGTTCTGTCCCACGGTGACAGCCTCGGAACCCTGCCGCTCCTGTTGGGCCTGGGCGGCCGCAGGCCGGGAGGAGGCTCCGGAGCAGGTTTTGTTAATGAGGAGGCGGAGGGGTGGGTAGGTGTCTGCTGGGTGGCTAGTGGCTGGCTACACGGATTCCTCGGAAATGGGAGGAGCTGGAGGGAGTGCGTGTAGTTTTTCTGGGTCTTCAGTTACTTACTGCAGTCAGGCCTTCCACTCTGACAAGCCCCAGCCCTGAGAAGGGTGTGGAATGTCAGGGCCTCTGAAACCGAGCAGAGCCGCACCCACAGAGTCAGGAGCACGTGGGGGAGCCACGGGAAGAGTCCTCACGCAGCACACGTCCCCGGGCCCTGCCCGCCAGACGTGGGACCCAAGGTCTCCGCAGACAGCTCTCCGGTACGGAGCCCCGCCCCCCCGCTCCCCGCCGAGTCTCTGTCCCTTGCTCCTGAAAACCTCAGCCAGAAAGGGGACTCCCGTCATCCAGGGTCGTTTCCCTTTGTCACCTGTGGGGAAGGAGATTAACCCCGGACCCGGCGAGGCCAGGGTGCAGCCCCCAGGGTGCCGTGGGAGGCCTTGGTGTCAGCTGGGTGCTCCAAATAGAAACGCAGAATAAGGAACCGTCAGGCAGCCGCCTCTTCAGCTCCCGCCCGGAGCGGCAGCTCTGCACGCTCGGGTCTGGGGCGCTGTGGGGCGTGATGGCGCCGCGGCCGGCCGGTCCTCCCTGTTCTCTGAGCCTCGGTTTCCCTGGTCCTGGTGTCCACCCCGGGGCGGTGGTCATTCGAGCAGAGCAGATGAGGGGCGGTGACAGCGGAGTCCTGCCGCGGTGGTCTCCCACGAACTGTGACACACAGGAGCACTTTAAAAAAAACGCTTGAGAGAACTTGGCTCGGCTTACGTAACTAATACATGTTCACTGCGGGGAGTTGGGGAGTCACTGAAAGAAGGAAGTCACCTGTCAGCTCACCACCTACAGCTCACTGCTGTGCCTGGGTTTTTCCATACATGTTCCGTGTGGGATCTAAGGACAGGCTGTTTTATAACCGATTTCCGCGTCAGCTTCCCGCGGCACGTGGGCGGCCCTCTCCCCCAGCCTCGCGCGCTGCTGTCGGTGCCTGCCTGGCTCCGCGTCGGGGGAGGTGTCCCGGGCGTGTGACCGGCCCTCTGTGGTGGTGGCGATGGTCCCGGCCCGTTCCTCCCTGTTCTGAGTAATTCTGTCTCTCAACTGTTTCTGGAGGGCAGTGGGTGTTGGCCGGGGGCAGTCTTGGTCCCCGTGCTGCTGGCATCTAGAAGTTGGAGGCCCGTAGCGGGCCGCCCCCCCCCCCAGAGTCCTCCTGTCCGGATGTCCTTGGGGCCACAGCTGTGGGGCCAGGCAGCGGGCTCCTCTCCCGGCCGCAGCGGCAGTGCCGGGTCTGGATGCCGCCAGTGTGGCCGGCTGGTGTCCTTGCCCGAGACAGGGAGTGAGCCGAGTATGTTCCCTCAGCAGCGTGTGTGGTGTTCCTTAGGCTTCCCGTGTTCGACCGTGATCTCAGGGAAGACTGACCTCCCCTGTTTAAAGCTCTCTGGAGCCCAGAGGAAAGGGAAGGTCGTGGGGCCCTGGACGGAGGTCCGTGTGCGGGCTGCTGAGCGCAGGCCTCGCCCGGAGGGTAAGGCAGCCCGAGGGAGAGGGAGAGGGGGGTGCCCAGCAGGGCAGCCCCGGGGTCCGGCCAGGCATGGCAGAGCCTGAGGCAGCCCCCACAGCAGGGAGCCCCCTTGACCAGGTTCCTGAGGGCCAGTTGGCGAGGGCAGGGCTCCGCCTTTCCAGCCCCAGGGAGGCGGCTTGAGTGGCTTCCCTGCCCGGGGAATGATGAGCTGGGCCCTGCCACCCCAGGCCCTCCTGGGGGACGTGCTGAGGGAGGGCCCAGTCTGTCAGTGCAGGCAGCGAGACGTGGCGAGCCGGCCTGAGCAGGCCGCCAGATGCCGGTGGCCCACCTCCTTGCAGAGGGGCAGAGGCCGTCACTGCGCAGCAGAGCCTCAGTGGCTGCAAGACTGGCCGGGGAGGGCACTGCCCTCCACCCCCTCTGCAGGGCCGGCTGACCAGTGTCCCCGGGTCAGGGGTGCACCTTCCACGCTCCTTGCAGCCTGGTGGTCTGACCCAGCCCCCGTGGGCCGGGGACACTGAGGCTGAGGAATGGGAGCCCTGCCTGACGCGTGCCCCTGGCCTGGCCTTTCCTGACTGCGCAGCCCGGGGCCCAAAGCGTGGGTGCAGAGCGCCCCTCCCTGCCAGCCTTGTGCACCAGGGGGCCAGCCCCGCCGGGTGTCCACTCGCAAGGACTGCCCTCGTGGGCCCCTCGGACTGAGCCCAGCCCTCAGGCAGATGCCAGGACACCCTTGCGGCTCTGGCTCCACTGCTGCCCTCCACCTCCCAGCTTGTCCTGAGCCCCAGGGCCTGGGTTGACCAGTTACCCCTGACTCCCACCTGACTCAGGTAAGGAGCACCCACCATCTTCAGTGGGCAAGACTGCCCAGCCCAGGACAGGGTGTAACCCTGGGAGGGTGAGGCCTGCCCAGACCAAGCCTAAGGAGTCGGGAAACTCGAGACCCTGGAGGGGCTGGGGGTGTAGCAGGCGGCCCTGGCCAGCAGGTGGCAGCACAGACTGTCCTTGGGGCTGAAGGGCTAGAGAAGCAGCAGCCGTGCCCTGTAAGATTCTGCAGACCCACCCCTGCTCCCCAAGCCCCGAGGCCGTCCCGCATGGCTAGACAGCCCCAGTCCTCCTTGCCAGGCACCCTGTGGACCCTGTAGTGGGACCCACTGTGGGAGGCCAGGGGGCTGGGGCACCTGAGGCTCCTGAAGAGGAGTCCGTGCCCTGGATGGGTGGCTCGGTTGGAGCATTGCCCTGATAACACCAAGGTTGCAGGTTCGATTCCTGGTCAGGGCACATACAAGCACCAGCCAGTGAATGCATAAGTGGAACAAGACACTGATGTTCCTCTCTCCCTTCCTTCCTGTGTAAAGTCAGTATATAAAATGTAACCAGTGAGGAGGAGGGAGACCTAAGGGCCCCAGGGCTGCCTGGAAGGAACTGGAGGGCTGGGCTGGGACCACAGAGGGCCTGGTTCAGCCCAAGGAGAGAGACTCTAACAGAGTAGGTGTTGGGGAGGGGACCGGGGTGGTGGGGTGGAGTGTTTGGGGGAGATTTACGGGCTCCCGCCCCCCTTCCTCACAGCAGCCCCACTGCCCCCACTCTGAGATGGGGCTGAGCCAGGGCCAAGCTCCCCCCCCCCCGGGCCCAGATGCTCTCAGACGCTCAGGTCGGGGCGCTGCCACCCTGGAGCTCCTCCCCCCGCTTTGTCCCCCGACCCCATCAGGCCTGCAGGGCAGCCAAGTCGACAGGACGGCCTGGCCCTGGATGGGCACAGCAGGGTGACCGCCTGCTGGCCACTGTTCCGTCCTACAGACAACGAAGCAGAAAGGGCAGACTCTGGGCAGACCAAAACCCTGGTTTATTTCAGCGTCAGCAACATCTCAGCCATCACAAAAATAAACTCTACCAAGGGTGACGGGAGTCTCTACGGCGAGGCTAAGGGCTCAGCCGCCAGGCGGCGAGCCTCGGGGTGCGTGGCGGGCACTGCCCGGGCAATAAGTTAGGAAGCGGCAGGGCTGGCGGCCGTGGCAGGGGTGGGCCGGGCCCTCATTTCTGGGCGGGCACGAGGTCGTCGATGGCCTGGCCCTGTTCCAGCCGCTGCTCCATCTCGATGAGCAGCTTCACGCCGTCCACCACCATCTGCACCAGCTCCACCTCGGAGAAGCCCAGGCGGTCGGCGTTGGAGATGTCAAAGACCCCGCCCACAGCAGCCGTGTCCACGCCACCTGGGGAGACAGCCGGGTGGGCAGGGCTGGCGCGGGGGCGGGCGCGGCCCCGGGGGGAGGGAACTGCGGCAGACCCCGCCCCGCGCACCTGTGCCTCGCTTCTGGAGCCGCAGCCTCTTGAGCACTTCCGGGAACTTCTCGTGCTTGCCCAGGTGGGGCAGCTTGATGTGCACACCTGCCCGCAGCCCTGTGCCCAGGTTGGACGGGCAGGTGAGGATGTAGCCCAGGTGAGGGTTCCACATGAACTCGAAGTTCTTAGACTTGAAGAGCGTTTCAATCTGGAGGTGGGGAAGACGGCATGAGAGGGGAGGCCTGCGGCGGGAGACACCCCTCCCCCAAGGGACCGGCTGGGCCCAGGATCCCCTCCCCCGCAAGCAGGGCCTGCACTCGGGGGCCTGGCCCTGCCCTGCCCGGCACTGAAGCCCGGCCCCGCCAGCCCCGGTGGGGTGGCCCGGCCCGACCTGGGTGAGGCCGTTGCAGAAGCGGGTGAACACCTCCTTCATGTTGCCCCCTTTCTGCATGGATATGACCCGCAGGTGGTCCTCCTCGTTGATCCACACCAGGAAGGTCTTGTTGTCATTATGCCTGGGGGAGGGGCACAGTCAAGCCGCCTTCCTGGGCTGTGGTCTCGGGCACGTCCCAGAAAAACACTCCAGGGGGTCCCCCGGCTTGAGGAACCTCGCAAGTCCCTGAGGTGTCCTTCCGGCAGTGCGGAAGGGGGGGGGGAGGCGGGGGGCGCGCAGCAGGGAGGCCAGGACGCCTTGGAAAGGGTTCAAAAAGCCCCGAGCTGCTGCGCCTGACCCTGCCAGTCATGTTCCTGGGGGGTGGGCGCTGAGGGGGCGCAAGGTGCCCGCCCACGAGGTGAGGGCAGGGCGGAGGCTGTAAGCCTCCCCACCCCCACTGGGAGGCGGCTGCGTCACCCAGCACCTGACAGAGTCCCGGAGGAGGGGGGCGCGAAGCGGCTGAGAACGAAAACAAGAAGCTCCAGGTCCCAAGAGGGGGGTGGAAGCGAGAAGCCAGCACGATCTGTCCCCCACCTCCAAGATCCAGAGAGGGGGAGGCCGCCACCAGCCCGGCCCCTGCGCTCACCTGGGCGCTCAAGGTCACCTGCGAGGAGGCTGGGGCGGCACCGACGGGCCCCAGGAGCGCGGCCCCTCCCTCTTCCTCCAAGGCCTCGGAGAGCGCGGGCGGAGGGGAGGGGAGGGGAGGGGAGGGGAGGGGAGGGGAGGGGAGGGGCGGCGCGGCCCGCGGAGGGTGGGGAGGACACGCACCAGATGCCGCGGGCGTCGGGCCAGTCCCGGGCCATGCCCGAGGCCAGCAGCAGGGGCGACACGGGCTTGTCGAAGAGGAAGTGGTCGTCGATGAGCTGCTGCTGCTCCGCCTCCGTCATGCTCCTGAGCGCGAAGTACCTGCCGGCCAGGTCGCCCTCCAGGCTCGACAGGGCTGCGGAGAGGCTCGCTCAGGGGGCCGCCGCCGGCACGCGCCCGCCGCCTCCCCGCGTGCGCCCGGCCCTGTGGGAAGCCCAGTCCACGCGCTCCTGGCGGCGGTCCGAGGTGGTGACCTCGCCGGGCCCCACGCGGCTGCCGGCGCGGGCTGGGCTTCGGTCCCTTGGGAAACCGGACCGCGTTTGCAGATAAGAGCGCGCGGCGGCGGTTCGGGTGACGCGTAAACAAGGCAGGCGGCCCGGGGGGCGGGGACCCCTACCCTCCACGGCGAGCTTCTCGATGGCGCGGCGCTCCCCGCGGCTGCAGTGCGGCGGGAGGCAGAAGCCGCGGATGCTCCGGCCCGTGCGCACCCGCGAGCTCAGCACGTAGTTGGGGTCCAGGTCGTCGCCGCCCTGCGGGTCGAGTGGAGGTGAGCGCCGGGCCGCCCCCCAGCCCAGCCCGGCCCGGCCCGGCCCGCCCCCGGGCCGCCCCGCACCTGCAGGTTGTCAGGGTTGAGGTCGGTCTTGTGCTCGTCGCCCGGCTTGTAGCCGCCATGGCGGTCCTCGATGATGGGGTCAAAGAGGTCCTTGAACACCTCGTACGACTCCTCGTCGCCCGCCACGCAGCCCACGGTCATGATATACGGGTGGCCTGGGGGGGGGAGCGGAACGGGGACAGTGACGTCACTGCCAGGCCCGAGGCAGCCGCTGAGCGCCGCCCTGCAGCCGCGCGCAGGGAGGGGGCGCGGGGACCCCGGCCCGAGGTGCGGTCGCGAGGGCGCTGCACCCCCGCCCGCGGGCCGGGGCGGGGCTGCCCGTACCCGGGTTGTCCACTCCGGTCTGGATGACGTCGTCCAGCGTGAAGCCGCTCGGCGTGCACTTGGCGCGCAGCTCGGCGTACAGCTCGGGGGTCAGCACCTTGGCCATGTGGTTGTTGTGGCTGCTGAGGTCGGGGAACTCGTCCTCCGCCGGGAAGCGCAGCTTCAGCGCGTTGTGGCTGTTGGAGAAGGGCATGGCGGCAGCGGGCTGCGGAAGACACGGGCATCAGCGGGGCCGGGCCCGCCGGCTTCCCAGGGACCCGCAGACCACCGGGGCCCCGCGGCGCCGGCCACCCGGGCCGTGGCCAAGGCCAGTGGGGTTCGCCGCGTGCGCGCAGGGGCAACTGCACCGCCCAGGACCCCCGGCCCTGCGGGCGCACCCGCTCCAGGCGGGGGTCCCCGTCGTGCCCAAAGTGCAGGATGCCGCACCCCCACGCCCCTCTGTGCGCCGCGCCCCCGCCCTGGCCCCCAGCGCGGCCGCTGTTCCGGTCCTCGGGCCCACTCACCCGGCGACCGGTCGTGCAGGGAGCGCTCGTTCCTTCCTCAGCTCCGGGAGCGGCGCAGGAGAACAGCAGCTCCTCCGCGCTCCCGAGGCTCTTAAGGGATGCAACGCGGGCCGCCCATTGGCCGCTATTTATAGCCCATTCATTCTATTGGCCCACACTGCGGGGTGGTGTCGCCCCTTTGTCCGCTGCCCGTCGCCCTAGACCAACCCCCCTGGCCACCCACCCTAAGGACCCACTTATCCGGGACCCAGCACAGTCCGCCTACCCCACCGGTCGCCGGCCCCGGGACCCCGAGATCTGAAGCTCAGACCCTTGGACATCCTGGAGTTGCCCCTGGCCCTGCCTCTGGGCGGGAAACTGAGGCAGGGGAGCCACCGGGCTCCCGAGAACTTAAGGACTCTGGGGTTGTTCTGCATCCTGGATCCCCCACTTGGCTCCTCCCGCCAGTCCCCGCGGCGGCGGCGGCGGCGGCCAGGGGCCGGTCTAGAGCGCGTTGGGCTGCCGCAGCAGTTCCTGACCCCCCCCGCCCCAGCTGGTTCCCAGAGGCTGACCTTCTTCAAGGTGCCCGCAGGCATCTCCTGGGCGGTCTTGGTGCAGAGCGAAAGGCAACCAGAGGCGCAGCCTGGCCGCGGCCCAGCCCCAGGCACCACGACGCCTTGACCTTGGGCGAGTCCCTGAGCGCTCTGGGGAATCCCAGCCGGAGACCCCCGGGCCCTGCTTCTCCTGGTACTTGACGCCCGGAGAGGCCGCCGGTGAGTGCACAGCCTCCGTCTGCAGACCGCCCCCCCCCCCGCCCCAGGGCCCTCTCCTCAGGGGACAGGTTCAGCCTCACCCCCCCCCCCCCCCACAGGCAGCCAGCCCGGACGCTAGCAAAGCCCGCAGGAAGCGCGAACCGACGGTACGTGAGAGACTTAAAAACCACTGCGAGTCAGAATCACGCAAATGAAAACAACGAAGACTCCACCTTCCACTCCCCCCAACACACCCGGATAATCCAAACAGAGAGAGTGACAGCAGCCAGTGCCGGCTGTGGGGCGGAATGCGGGCGGGCAGGCATCCGCCGCTGTGGGTTGCTACATCCTTTTCGGAGAGTAATTTGGCAGTATCCGCTGGAATTTAGAATGTTCGCACTCCGTGACCCTGTGACCCCACTTCTAGGAATTCAGCCCGCAGAGAGATCCGGCCGCGTTTCTCTTCGCAGTCGGACCGAAAGATGCACACCGGGAAACACTCGCACAAAGCAGCGTGGATGCAGCTCGATGCCCATCACCTGGACCCTGGCCGGGGCAGGGGGCCTGTGCCCGGGGTGGAATCGTACACGGCTATTCCAACAGAGTGTCCCTCGTGCGGCTCAGCCGGTTGGGGGTTCAAAAAATAAAAAAAAAGTGAGCCACAGCTTCTGTGGTTCCTCTCCGTCACAGTAGCTCTGAGACTGAAGCAAGAGGGAGAACCCTGATCTGTGTGTGTCTTTGACAAAACCCTCCCCGGGCCTGCACCGCGAGCTCTGCGGGCAGCAGGGTGAGCGAACACGGTCGGCCGCGAGCAGCCGAGCAGCCGGGGAACCAAACACCAGGTGGGAGGAGACTGGCGGGGCTGGGAGCGGCGGGGCGGGCGGAGGGAGCCCCGTGCGCTGGCTGGGGATGGGGCATCCCTTCCCTGTGGAGTGGGCATCGCATCGGAGGGTGTGGAGTCCCGTTCGCTGCTGCCCCGGCTGTCCCCGTGGTGGCGGCAGAGGGGACTCCTGCTCTCTGCCCCCACCCCCCACACCTTGGCCTGTTTGGACCTGTCCCCAGTCTGCATTTGGGTTTTTTTTTTTTATTCCTTTTTTTTTTTAGGCCCATAAAACAAACCGTCGTAAAAATGGCCCAGGCTGGTCGGGCGGCAGGCTCCTTTAAGCCCGGAATTCCTGCAATCTGTGCCCCCTGCAGCCCCTTCCCCCCAATTTCAGAAATATCTGCGGCCACCCTCCCCACCCCCGGAGGCCTAACGGGCTCAAGTTTCTGTTTCTAGAAACCAGAGCTGCTGGCTCCTGGAGGCTGACTTGACTTTCAGACCCCAGGGGTGGGGGTGGGGGGGTCACTCGGAGCTTCCTCTTTGTCTGCAGCCTCTGCGGCTCCTCACAAGGCCCCCCCCCCACCCCCACCTTCAGGCCACGGAGGACCTGGCCGCTTTGGGGGTTGGGGAGAGGGAAGGTCCATACTGCAGAGGGGGACCCAGAGGCCTGGGGCTGCCCTGGCCAAGGTCAGGCCCTGGGGGTGTCCTGCCGGGGCCCTGGCACTCCTCGGCCTCCCGAGGTGGGTGTTTTGTCCCCGTTCTGCAAATGAGCAAAGGGAAGATCAGAAAGTGGTGGCAGGGGCCAGGTCAGAGGTGCAGCAATCTCTCAGTGACCCTGGGTCCTGGAATGGCTGGCCCTGTGGCAACCTGCCTGGGCCCACCCTGGGGACCTCTGGCAGGCCAGACCCGGGCTGGACTCAGACTGATGGCAAGGGTGGTCAGCAGCTACAATGGTGCAGGAAGGGGAGGAGGCCTTTGAGGCCTTTAGACCCGAATGTCATGGGGAGGCCCCATACCAGGCAGTGGCTGCTTGGGAGCCCGGGGGTCCCAGAGCAGGGCAGCAAGGGGGCTGGCACTGGCAGGGTGCTTCCGGCCAGCCTAGCTCCCATCCGGACCCTCCGTTTCCCCCCGGGGGCCCACAGAAGCCGGTTTGGTGGCGTCTAGGAGAGAAGCTGGGTGACATCACCTGGCCAGTTTACGGTCCTCAGAAATCACACCTGCCCTGGAGAGGGAGGGGAGCCTCAAAGGAGTCCCTGGCCTTTCATCCGCCACTCGGCAGGGCTGGCAGAGGGGGCCTGGTGCCAGGGCCGGGCTGGGGGCCAGGGGCCACCCTTGGAGTCGGTGCAGCTGCTGCTTCCTCCTTCTGCCCCGCGCCTGGGCTCTGCAGACCCCACAGGGGAAGTTGGCTGGGGCCCGGAGGGGCGGGGCTGCCTCGGAGTCGCCTGCACAGGGCTGGGCTGGGCTGGGCTGGGCTGGCCTGAGAGGGCGGGGGGGGGGGGGGTCCTCATGTCACATGACCCCTGCCAGGGATGTGGGCGGGCAGACAGCCACCACAGCCGTGGGCATCCTTGGCTTCTCCTTTTCCTCCAGGGTGACCTTGACCGTTTCCTCCTGCCTGTTCCCACTTTCCTTCAAATCCACCGTTAGTTCTCTGCAGCCATATTTACTGGGGTTTTTTTTTTTTTTAAGATTTTATGTATTACTTAGAGAGCGGGCCAGGGAGAGAGGGGGAGAAACAAGGCCTGCCGCCCAGGCATGTGCTCCGACCAGGAATTGAACCGGCGACCTTTCACTTGTGGGACGACACTCACGCCAGCCAGGTCCAGGTTTACTGGTTTTAAATCCCAGTTCCACTTGGGCCACATTGACTGTGTAACTAAACCTCCCTGAGCCTTAGTTTCTCCATCTATAAAGTGGCCCCTCACAAGGCTATGGTCAGGAGTCCTTGCAGTGACACTCAGCGGGGCTTGCGTGGCATCAGTTACTAGTAGGGGAGTCCTGACACACAGACTGGGCCCTGGGGGAGGCCAGCGCAGATAGGCAGCTCCGGGAAGGCTGCCTGGAGGAGGGGGCAACAGAAGCGCTGGTCAGCCAGTAACCGCCAAAATGGGAAGTTGGGACCTCAGGAAACCACTGCCCAGTCATGCAGCCCTAATTTGGACTTCACGGGTGCCCTGCCTGGGCTCCACACCACAGCCGAGTAACCGGGAAAAGAGGAACCCCGCACCCAGAGAAGTGGAAAGTCGAGCTCTCTCAAGGGAGCAGTTAGGGGGAGATTCGGGCCAAGCATCGCCAAGGGGGTGGAGCAGTCTCCTGGAGCAGAGGTCACAGAGCTGTGGATAGGGCTGGGTTGTCTCGGATGTTGAGAGCAGGCGGCAGTGGGGCCGTGATGCAGCCACCCAGGCATCTGGTGGCCGGAGTGCTGGCCCCACAGGTGCATGAACCCGCAGAGGGTAGGGGGTCACCAAAAGCCCCTCACCTTCTTACCCTGGGGCTCCCAGACCCAGGCCCGGCCAGGGCAAGGGCTGGGGTCAGGCACCTGGGTTTCCACCATGGACTCCGAGGCACCCACCGCAAGGACCACAGGCTGGCCAGTCCTGGCCCCAGAGGAGGGAGAGTTTAGAGCCCCAGGGGCTTGCGGGGCTCTGGGGAGGGGCTGGCTCTGCGGAGGCCTGGCCACTCCCCTTTTACCAGGCTGGAGCAGCTGGGCCATAGAAGTGTGGTGTAGGGTCATTGCTAACTGGCCCTGGGTTAAGGTGCAGGCTAAGCCCCAGGATAGTGGGATGGACTGGCGCTTCTCTGACCAAGGTCTCCAGTCCCGGGGCTAACAGGACAAGCTCTGGCTGCAGGAAGCGGAGTGCCGCAGGCAGACAGTCCGGGCCCCTGCACCCCGCCCCTCACTTCCCCCAGGAGCCAGCTCAGAATCCGCCTTGCTGAGATACTCAGAGAGTCTCGCCTTCCCTTTTCTGCCCCTCCCCCAGCCCCTGGCCCTATCCCCACCGAGCCCAAATGTGCCCAATTCTTCCAGCTCTCGTTGCACCGGGGCCCAAGGGGACCCAGCGCCGCCTCCCTCCCGTAAGCAGCTTCCGCCCTCCGAGGGTGTGGCAGGCCGGGAGGAAGCCACTTCGCAGACCCCGCCAGACCCCCAATCTCCTGCGGCCGCGCTGACCCCAGCCAAAGCCTTCTGGGACGACCCTCCGCCCTGGGGCCCTCTTCCCTGTTCTGGAAGGCACCCTGGGGCCCAGTCGGGGGCGTTGCAGAGCGTTTTGCAGTGACAAAGCGTCCACGGAAAGGGTCCTCCTGGGGCTGGGCAGGGGGCCGCCGGCCCGGCGGCCGGTGACTGCCGGGCTGCCGAGGTCCCTGCCCGGTCGCAGTCCATGGCGTCCGGCTGCGGGGACCGTGGGACGTCCACCGGGGGCCTCCCACCGGCTAGCGTCAACCCGGGAATAGCACGCGCGGGGGGCGGGGGGGGGGGCGAGAGGCGGCGAGGCGCCGTGACGTCATCGGTGGGCGCCGCGCGCCGCGCCGGAGGCGGAAGGGCTGCAGCCGCGGTCCCCGAGCCACGTGCGGAGCCTCCCGGGCCGCAGTTGGCCCGGCATCGCAGGTGGGACTCTGCGGGGACACCGGCGGTGCGCGGGCGGGGGCGCCCGGCGGACGCGGTGCGTCCCTCAGCCTCCCAGCCCCGTGCCAGCCTGGCCCGGCCCGCGCCCCCTCTGCACGGGCCGGGCCGGTGCATCAGTCTTCAGCCCGCTGGACGTCCCCAGCCCTTGCCTCTCCGGCATCCCCCTGCCGCCATCCGCCCAGAAGCCCGCCCTGGGGAGGCTGGGGTGAGGAGTGTCCCTTTGAATCTAACCTGGAGCCGAGGCGGCCTCTCACAGCCGGAGAATGGGCGCCAGGCCCCGGGATAAGGGCGATGAGAGCGCCCGGTCCCGACTTGGTGGGCAATCTTGCTGTCGCCTGGCCCGTCTCTCCATCTGCGATTTGGGCTGACGGCTTCTCTCTCGTGACCCAGACCAAGAAGGGCTTCAAGTGCCGGCCCGGTTCAGCCCTACTGGGCGCCCCAGGTGGACAGTGCCAGGGCTCGAACCAGCCACCCCGCCCCCACCCGACGGCCCAGGATCTGGGAGTCACCACGCACATCCCGCCGCCCCGCTCCTCCGCACGCTCATGACCCTCTGCCTCCTCCCAGGGCCTTGGCACCGCCGGAGAGCAGCACCATGAGCTTCGTGGCTTACGAAGAGCTGATCAAAGAGGGTGACACAGCCATCCTGTCACTGGGCCACGGTGCAATGATGGCAGTGCGTGTGCAGCGTGGGGCGCAGACCCAAACCCGGCACGGCGTCCTGAGGCACTCCGTAGACCTCATTGGCCGCCCTTTCGGCTCCAAGGTGACCTGTGGCCGAGGCGGCTGGGTGTACGTGCTGCACCCCACGCCCGAGCTCTGGACGCTGAACCTGCCACACCGCACCCAGATCCTCTACTCCACCGACATTGCCCTGCTCACCATGATGCTGGAGCTGCGGCCCGGCTCCGTGGTCTGTGAGTCCGGTGAGTTCCTCAGCTTCCTCCGTGCCACCTCGGAAGTCGACAAGAAGGCGGGGGTCAGGCCCAATGTTCAGGCAGCGTCCAGCGGGCCCTTCCTGAAGACAGGCGCGCTATTTGGTCTCTGTTTTAACGGGACCTTTCTGCAGAGCTGACTGCAGGGACTGAGGGCAGAAGTAAGGAAGTTGGTTAGGAGGCTGGTGCTGTGATCTGAGTGAGAGTCGGTGGGGTTTGACCAAGGATGGGCCCGAGCGAGGTGGCCGTGGCTGGGGCCACCGAGCTGCTTGGTGCTGACCGAGGTGCTGACCGCCGTTCTAGTAATGCCCAGCTCCAGGCCCAACGTCA